TGGGCAGATACATATGGCGGGAATCTGCCGAGGTGCTCTAGGAATATTTTACTTCAACTCTTGCTCCGTTAAGTTGAAATTAAAATCAAGGAATCTCCCAACCTGCAAATGGTCTCATTATTCTGTGGGTCTGTCAGCGTGTCAGCCGTTTGCAGATTACTTTTCTTAGAAGTCATTGGCCCCTTGCAATCCTCAATTTCCTCTCTCTTTACGCACTATTTGAAAATCACGAATGACGAAGTATGAGAACATTGCATCTACAAAGCCACATGGATGAGCCACCAAGAGTTCGAAAGTTCGTTTTTAAATTTCTTCGGAAATTGGTGTGTGAAATTGGGACAAATTCTTCTGCACAAACATCCCCGGCACGATTCTAAAGTTGGTATAGACATTTGAGCTGAAAGCCATCAGTTTCAGCAGGCTAACCGCGTAGTACTCACAAGCTGCCAATTAGTAGTACCCAAATATTGAATGATTCATTGTACTGTCGACACAGGAACTTGCTAAAAGCCCAGGCAACTGTTGCGTCGATTGTGTACTGCTGCATAACACAGTTGCGTGAGACTTGGTTAACCACTGAGGCCCACCCCCCTCCCAGCGTTGCCCGTGTGCCTTGTGGTAGATACTCCACTGTTGTGATTTCAACCTTTTAATCTCCTCAAAAATATACATTATAATAACATTATAAACAGTTAATAATAATATTATTGTAATATACAATAATAATATAATATATAATATATATTATATATAATAATACAGAATATAATAAATTACATTATAATATTTGACAGCTTCCAACAGGTAGTCAGTAGTCCACTAATGCTCAATAGTGTCCACCTCCCCCCCCCCAAAACGGGCAACGTGGTAGATGCTTTGCGCCAACTCGGGACCCATACCAGATTCTGTCAGGCGTTATCAGAATGTGCACCATAACAAATGCCAACATTTAGGGGTGCGGTGGCAAACCCGATTGCCGACGTACGTCGCGCACATTGGGACCCCTGCTGGCCACCCTTTGTTGCTGTTGGTTTTTCAAAATCCAAGTAATTTGCTGTGCGGACCAGGAGGTGTGAAATGGAGCCATGCCTGCCATCTACCTGCACCCTCCTCCGCCTCTGGTCTTCTTGACTCTGTCTTGACACCGGGTCAGGTGGGGGAGAGGGAGAGAGTGCGGTAGATGCTGTGCAAGTTCGCTACCGCTATAGACTAAATCACGTACAAGCCACCGTTCCTGCTCCACCTTGCTGAGGAGCACACGGTTGACATCGTCGTCGAACTATGTAATGCTCACCGTGCGGTCAGCACGAGCACTAACCGCATAGAAGCCCAAACATACTCCATCAATTTCATGCTTGAGGCAACCGCATGGAGTTTGGCTCAACGCTGGGTTTCCCTTGCGCTATCTTTGTGCTTTCTGATATAAAACCCAGTTTAGAAGTTCCCCAAATGCATCATTTTTTGGATACTTAATCCTTTACAGCCTGTAAGAACAGGCCCCCGTGCAACTGATATTGAGATCTTTTCAATTTCATCTGGGGGGTCTCTTTCTTATCGCAGGTAGAAGGATAGTGAAGATTGAAACAAAGGGGATATGCGTTTTTTTTCTTAAAATACTGGTATTTAGTCTCTGTCGGGCATGCACCCAGATGCGGACAAAAGAGTGCGGAAGGTGATGTGTTGAGTCGAAGGGAAACAAGGAGGATGTGGTATTTATCATTCTCCTCGTCAGAATGTGGGTATTCGGTAACCGGTAACACGGTGCAGATGATTCCATTACAAACTTCTTGCTTTTAAGGGTGTCCGCATCTGTAGGGCAGGCGGGGAAGCTCCCTGGGGATTTCGTAGTAAGAGAAACCCATTTTTTCCACACATTATAGACCAAATGAACTGCCTACTACCCTCAAATATGCTTAAATAAGGCTGTGGGTTACCTCGTCAAAATGCCCAAACTGTAAGTGACTTTGGTACACCTGCCTCTGCTAAAGAAACGTAAAGTATTAGCTGACTTGACGTCCCCGGTATTGTTTGTGGACAGAAGAATTATGTACATGAAAAGTCAAAGAATCAGGGACCTGATAACATGCTTAAGTGGACAACTGACTTAACGCTAAGACGATGCTCTATTGGTTGTTCTAAAGAGAATATGCATATTTGTTTTAATTTTCGCATGGCGATAGACCAAGCTGAAAGCCGTCGGTTTCAGCAGGCTAACCGCGTAGTGCTCACAAGCTGCCAATAGGCAATTAGTAGTACACAAATATTGAACGATTCATCGCTTCAGTTCCGCAAAGTCTAGTGGCAAAATTTAAGCACCATCATACGTCCGCTGTCGTACATGGAAGTTATTGTAGATTGCTTACACTACCCTATTACGACAGATTTCTTTAGGCGGATGAAGATTGCCGCTAAGTACGAGGGAGACTGAAGTGGTCATTTCCGCCTTTTCAGACCTCATCAGCCGACCCTACCCAAACGCAAGTTTGCAGTACGTGAATCCCGATCTCATGTTCTTTGGTCACTGAGAGTTAATAAGCCCAACGCGCTATAAACTTTGTCATGGAACCCTTATCCCGACGGTTGAGGTCGGAAATGTTAACCCCTGCATATTGATGTTATGAACGATACTCGGTTTAGAATAGAATAACGCCGCTCGGACACGAATATGCGTGCTTCCCAGGTGTAAGACCAACTGTGGTACGGGAAACTGATCTGTTCTTCGGTCACTGGGCAGGATCATTGTTGATCTAGTTGCTCAAATGGAGAAGACTGTTTGAGCAGGGGCTTTCATGTGACATTCGGTTAAACTGAGACATAACCACTCCTCGCCTGAGAGCAACCCCAGACCGCAATGTATCCTGTAAACGCGACAACCCTCAACAGCACCCCGACGTCATTGTTGAATATTGTTAATAATGCCTTCGGGAACGAAGCCAGCGGAACCAACCGCAAATACTGCCAACCAATCTTAAGGTGTAAATAGCCAAAATGAGTCCTACTTACTAAGCTCTCAGTCCTTTAAGTATTGAACCTTGATTGTATGACCACGCCCCATTAGGATTAAATTTTGTGCCGTATCAATAAAAGTAAATTCCCATTATGTCACCGCACAAAGTTGCCACATTTTCTTTTTCTGCGGCTTTATGACGTACGCTGCCATCAAATCAAATAAGTGAGGTCAACATGCTTTCAAATGAATCAGTTTTGGAAGTGGATGGTCAAAGGTCGACTGAACCACCGTAGTCCAAGGTAGACATACTAACGAAAGCATCGTTTACGAGGCCGATAACTACATTAAGATGGCTACCCAATAAAAATGAGTAGCAAGCTCGTAAGCAGTTTATTGGATACCTGCGCGGTCGCAGTGTCAACCCCTCGGCGCTTCCTTTCCTTCAAAGGACTCTATTTTTTTCTAATGGGCCATTCAGTCCTCTTTTTAATTGCAGAAACTAGTTTGATTCTTGAAATAATTTCAAACTGTTTAACTTTGCCCACCGGGCCAAGGTGCTCTGCCGCACCCAAAGGACAATGGACTGAAATCTAAAGTTTGATTTGGAACAGGGGGATGTGCTAATTTACAATCAAACTTGCTGAACACATGCAATTATCTCGCAAATGTTTATTCCTCTAGCTGAAACGCTAATCTTGAATCGGTTAGATGATACTTGGTAGCCCTCCTGACACCGCAAACTCCCAGCTGCCTGTCAATCGGGACCGGTGGTAATAGGGGCCATACGGGTGGGACAATTGAGTGGACGGGTAAATGGCGATTGTAGTATATGCTAGGAATTGATGCTCCAGGTAAAGTGGAAGCCTAATTTAGATTAGGTGAAAAATACAAGGAAGGTATGGAAATGAGCAAGGAGACTTTGAACGGTGTGCGGAATAAATGCATCCTAGCCTCAGATTGGAAAGAAAAGCAAGTGATTACAAACAACCAATGGGAAGAAGGAAACTGGTCCGAAGGTCATTCCGCAATGTGTGCGATTGAATTCCATCCAACATAATGGACAGAAGAACACGAGAGTCAAGCAGCGGCACGCGGGACGCCACAACGTAAGCCGGGTAAGACTTTTATGCGAAAAATTGGTTTGGGCGGAAAAGAAAATCCGCAAATAATGAGGCAGTCGAAAGCTACCTCTGCTAATGAAAGTTGATAAAGGGTAAGCCTCATTGTCATCGTTACCGGTGCCAATCCGCCCAGGATAATACCTCCACAATGAATCTGGTACAGGTAATACAGCGTAAATTTAGAAGCATAATGAGAACGTAATCATAGCTACTGAAATCAAGCCAGTAGGTACAATTGTGGATTCTGTGGGCACGGCAGCCAACTACCTTTTATAATGAAAGTTGACAAAGGGTAAGCCTCATTGTCATCTTTACCGGTGCAAATCAGCCCAGGATAGCACCTCTAAAATGAATCTGATACAGGTAATACAGCGTGCGCGTTAATTAAGAAACATAATGAGAACGCAATCAGAGCTACTGAAATCGAGCCAGTAGGTACCATTGGGGGGTCTGTGGGCACGACTACCAACTATCATCTTACCCTTGAATCTTCTGTTTTAAAGTTCGGAATGATATTCCACAAAAAGTGCCTGACGTCAACTAAATATGGGTATCCGGTTTTTGAGTTTATCGAAAAAAAGGATTTTAAGAAGATTTGTGTACCCTCTGTGTGGCATAACGCCTCAAGTGTTCGCCTAAAACTTGCATCTCTGACATGAAGACAAGGCTACTTGCTTCCACTGAACTGAACTCGCTTATTTCTATCAGCTTAACTGTCTAGAATCCGACCAATCAATCTGACCCGAACGAAAATCGATATTTTGTCGCGTGGTTTTAGGACTGACCTCCTTTCGAGCCATAGCGCCACTGCATGTGACAGCGTGCCTGAGACGGGTCATTATATCTGCGCAGGAGGCGTTTGCCTGTAAACCTGCAACATTTGACTGGTGAAAAAATCCTTCTGTGCGGTCGTGACAGCATCCGCTTCGATGTTCTCGTCCCTCCTCTTCCTCCTCCTCTTTCTGCTCACTGGCCCCGAGGCCCTCATTCGGCAAGACAAGGTTTGGGACCCTGCAGGTCGTCAGTCGCTGAATGAACCACTCAGTGGGGGCTCTGGTCTACACTGCCTACGCCTCTACCAACAGCGCTGGAAGACCGGGGACTGGGCAGATTTCTGCAACAGCAACGAACTCCTGCCCAACTGTTTCTTCTGGAACACGGGATCCGCCTGTGCGCCTCCGCAACAGTGGTGGCAGCGGCAAACCTACTGGCTCTTGTTCGAGTAAGTCAGACTGTCATACGAGTACTCCGAGGAGTATGGATTCCGACTGGGGGGACTACGCCACAGAGGAGCCTTGGCTAGCTTTTGAGGAAACATCAGTGTCAAGTGAGGTAGCCAGTGAGGCGGTCGGGGTAGAACACGGGAATAGAAAGCCTGCGTAATACGACTGACCTGGCGCTAAATCCCCGGAAAGGTATTTACTGTCAGTCACCGATCTCATGAAATGTTAACCTAAATTCTGAAATGCGTTTTCGATTTGGAAGGATTCCTTAAGTAGGGCTGTAATACTGATTATCTTTTGGCCTGATCCCATGATATTTCAGACATCCCGAAATGTTGGTTTTCGAATATACTTCCTTTCCGGCCTCCCGCCAAAAATCATGATCGTTAAAAAATGACTACTTAAGTAGCATGCGCTTTCTCGGTCGATTTTCAGTGCTCTTATAAGCTCAAAAGTATTTTGTCGGAAACACGTCTGAAAACATCATTTCTTGTAATCATTTGATAGCAGACTACGTCTTCTTCAATTTTGCATCCCACGAAATCCTATCTTCCGGTTTTAAAATAGGGTAACAATTGGGAGATGGCACCCAAAAAAATTTCGCCCAACCAAAACAGCCTGTCTTACGGGACAGGTGGTAATAAGGGTTTTACGGGCGGGGCCTTCGATTGCGTGGATAAATATAAATAATACTAAGAATTTTTTCAGAAATGGCTTTTCGAACGATAGAGTTTAACCTCATCACAATATGGCAACAAAAATGTGCGCGGTGTCGGATTTACTTGAAGAGGCAGATAATATGAAGTCGGTCCAGCTCGTATTCCCTGCTTAATTGCTTTTTTAAATAGGGGATTGAAAGCGGAATGCAGTTGGCTAAAGGAAACGTTCTACGTTGTGCTGTTCATGACCCTATGCCTTCATATCCTCGCTTTCAAAACGGCACGTTCAATAAACACAGGTGACGTGATTGAAAACATCGCCGCACTTGACCCCGACGAGAGTTGCAATTTTGTGAAATTGCTTAGCTGATGACACCGTCTGTCTAGAATTGTATGCTTTTAAAGTTTTCCGGCCCTCAGCAAAATACCCTTATTTTATTCCTTTCATCAGCCTGTGGACAAACACTTATGCAGTCCTCCGGCATATTCTCATCGGTAACGGAATTTTTTGGGTGCCATCTCCCAATTGTTACCTAAAATAGTTTCTAATTACGATATTTTTCAAAACTTTGCAATGTCCATTCGAATAGCATCGTGTCCTCCACCTAATAATGCTCCTCGTCAAGTATACAACATGGTTCCTATCCGCTGCAATCTTTCATGAGCCCCGTGTGGTGTTTTTTTAGTGGCATAAAGGAAGGGATGTTCTTCTCCACACGGAAAGTATAAAGCATGTAGACCGAAAACCTTAAGCGGAAATTCAGCGGCAGATCGAGCTCAAAATTATTCAAGAACCGAAAAGCTTTTTTAAAACCAAAATGTGTTATTTCTTCGTGTATAAAATTTAAAGGAAACATAATTTGCTATAGTGAGCGTACAAGAAGTAACATTTTATGGAGGTTTTCTATAAAATATAGTTTAAACTACAGGAGCATCGAAAATCGATGGAGAAAATGCATACTACTTAGGTGGTCATGGTTATCAGGTGCTGTATTTGCAGACGCCCGAAAAAGTCCACTCAAAAGTCAACACCCTGGCCTGTTTAAAATGTTACGGGATTGCGTCGCAAGATGGTCAGTGTTATAGCCCCTCCTAAGTAATCCTTCCTAATCGAAAGCGCATTTCAGAACTTTGGTTAATATTTCATAAGATCGGTCACTGACGGCGTTTTCGTGTCCTAACTCTGGCCTGATTCCTGACATTAACCTAAACCCCAAATTTAAACTTTCCGCTAACTTTTGCCCTATCCGTAATCCGAAACCTACCTTAACTCAAACCGTGAAATTAACCCAAATATTAGACCTGACCCTAAATTTGACTTTGACCCTAATCCCAGTCGTGAATTAGCCTTAGCATTAACTCTGACCCTGAGCTTACCCCTAACTCCAACCCCAACCTTAACCTTAACTTCAGCCCTGACCTTAATCCCCCTGACAGTTTGACCGTCGTTGCCGACGATGTCCACCATGTGTTCCATACCAAGGTAAGAGCAGGCGCGGTGACTTGTGCGCGCGTTGGTCTATAGTGGTAATAGACTTGCACTGCGTCTACCGCACTCTCTCCTCCCCTGCCTGAGTCCAAAGGCGGGAGAGGGCGCAGGTGGCTGACGCGACCGGACTTGCGCCTAGGCGTGCCCCCTAGACTCCCTAGAACTTAGCGCAGAGCCACCTGTATTACGTGGGTTCTAATTCCCGTGTCATGCTAAGGCGGGGAAGGAAGGAAACCAGTTTTTTCATGCAGACGGAATTTTAGCTCAAGGGTCCTGTTGTTTGGATCCCTTTTATTGTTCAGTGTGAATATTCTCGAAATCACTCTTGGAGAGAAGAAAGAACTCAGTGCTTTCAAATGGAAGATATGACCTGAGTTTGCTTATAGTATAAAGCATTATGGGGACAAATCTGATGTTGTATCATGTTCACCAGCTTGTCAACCCCTGGTTTAGAATCTTGTGCATCCTAAAATGAAAATAATTGGGTGGGTGTAGGCTTTGCACTAATTATTGACGAGTGCTCAACCCCAAACAGGCTTACGAAGATGAATAAATAAGAACGATTTTGTCAGTGTTGCTCACCAAACTGTGCATTATGAACCAAAACCATGCTAATCGTCCGTGGACACCTGGGAGTCTGTTCATACAGATAAGAAGGAATAAATTGGTTTGTTTTAGCGGTATGATGCAGTACGCCATTTGAGAGCGCACACTGGGTTTTAAAATATACACAAGCAAGTCCGTTTTCTGAGGTAGAAATAAGTGGTCTTTCGAAGTGAAGATTGGGAGAGAACGAAGTGGACATATTTAGGAAACGTTTCATGCATATTTGAGAGACATGATTGAAAAACAGTAGGAAATTGCATGTTTAATAAGCAGAAATGGCCGTGGGTACGATTTGCAAAAGCACGTCGAAAGCTTCCTAGCCTAGCGGACAATAATTTGTCGAATATGAATTTTCTTTCTGCTTGGTGTCGCTAGCGTGACCGCAATAACAGTAGGCGTGCTAACTCATGAAATGTTAACCGAAATTCTGAAGAATGTTTTCGTTTCGAAAAGACTGCCTAAGTAGGGTTTTAAAATCGATAATCATGCGGCACGGTTCTACAATAATTCAGTTACCTAAAGATACCGGCTTTCGAATGAACTTCCTTTTGTTTGCATGCAAAAACCATACTTCGTAAAAAATAACTACTGAAGTAGCATGCATTTTTCTCATTGATTTTCGATGCCCCTAAATGTCCAATTATATTTCATGGAAAACATGCATAAAAATATTTATTTTTGTTCATTCGATAGAAACTGTCGTCTTTTTCCAATTTTATAGTCGAAGGAAGGGTATAATTCGGTTTTCAAGAACTTTTCCAATCCCCGAACAATTCTTAACCCTACCTGCCGTTACACTTGCATTCAGGGTTTCCAAGCTACAATTCATCTTTTATGAACCACGTTGGCCTTTGTCCCTACCTTTTTAAACATATACCTGTTCGGCTGGCCAGCGTACATGCCCAAAGAAAATAACTGATGATGGACGGAAACATATTTGTTTGATGATGGGATGATGATTGCTTGTTGATGGGACTCTTTGTCAAAGTGGGAAGACTCTACACCCTACAAACCCCACGATTGCAGTAGTTCTTTTCCGCCTCAAACGCAGACGCCAGACGCTGCGCAAAGTCTCCTCATCACTACCTCCGCAATTGGTGTTGGTCCTTTTTGTACGCCTAGAACAAACTCCTTGAGCAACAGACGCATAGTTAACTGTGTTAAGGGGATGAGCGTTAAGTCACCTAAAGCCTTTATTTACAATCAGTTTTGGATGCTACTATTAAGGTTTGAGTAGCAGTAATTTTGCCGGTTGATTTTTACGTTCCGAATTCTGTAATTAGGAAGTGACTGTAGGAATGGCATCTAAATATACCCTACCTTCAATTGTAGGGGTCCCTTCTTCAACGGACGCTACGCACTGCTTCAGGCCGGAGAATGCAGGCAAGACCTGCGACGCATGGGTCTGCAAACTGTTGGCTCGGTGCTGATCTGCGAGTTGGCTAACAACGGATACATCAACTGTCAGGTTCCAGTACGACCCTGGCGTCAGTATAATGCTGCAAGTACCTTCCAACAACAAAAACAACGATCCGGCAGCCCCGGCAGTGAGAGCACTTTCGCTGCGCTGGCCGCTGGGACACCAACGTTAAATATTGAGGGTCAACTGTCCTTGGATCAGTTGCAGTCCGGGCAGCTTAAAGAACAATAGAGAGCAACCGTTTCTTCATGTTCTTCACCCATCCTTTTCACAGATATCTCAGGAGGCGCCTTTAAAGCCGATGCACCAACGACCCCGGAGTAGAACAGAAAACTCTGTAACGGTTGGCAGTGGGTTGGGATGGCCATAGGCAACTAAATGCATGCACGGAGATAGAGGGTATCCGAGAAACGAGTGAAATCCCGCGGACACTGAGCAAGACAAGGGTTGTGATTTAGCCTTTGAAAATGGTAGCCTCTCTGCCTGTACCAAAACTGCTCCTGCGATTTAAATTCAGTTTCTGAAACCTGCGTCTCACAACGCGCACATAATTTAAATGGGAGAGAATAGTATTCGAGTATCCAGCTCTCATTTAACGGAAGCAACGTCCTGTGTTTTTTGCGAAAGCTTAGGATTTACGAAATAGTAATTGAGGGTATTTTCGGACATTTATGATCGCGGAAATACTGTGTTGCAGAAACCTCGAAGGTCCAATATTCAAAAGTCATTTTTGTGAATAAAAGGTGAATAAGTATTGCTTTTTTCGCAGTTGAGGGATGCACCCGCTATGGTTCCAAATCAAAGCCTCCAGCGAAATATCGGGATATCAACGGTTTAATCTCGTCCGGCGGTACAAATTTTTCATTTTCACAGTTCCTTGTGGTCCACCAAAATTAATCAGGTTCCGTTTTGTTGCCAAAGAAGAGTTTCAGAGCTCAGCGAGCAGTTACCGAAATGCCAAAGAAGTCGTCTGTAAATAACGCAAGGTAGAATTTTGGGGCCTGCTCGAGTTCTTGTGCAAAAGTGCGATGACACGTATATTCGACAAACATACATAACGTTTACTTTACTAATGTAAGTAGATGGTATTCTTAGACTATTGTTTGTGGAAGGGTGGACATTTCTGGCTTATTAGCCGTCGACGGAAGGCCGTTGTCGAGCTCAGGACATAAAGATAAAGCATTTGACCTAATGCCCAGTTGCAAAAGATCCTGCGATCGACCTCCGGCTATCCAAACAGGAAATCCTCATTTTGTTCCCCCTTGTTCCTCCCGGCATCTTCTCATTTTTAAAATTCGCCACAGTGAGACTTCGACGGTGCCCATGATCGGGGTCAAAATATAAAGGATTATAAATATTACCGTATACTGGCCGTATTACTGGGCGATTCTGAAACGTTTACCTCTGTTTGACGCCACTTTTGTGATGTTTGTAAACTGTAAAAGTCAAATATTTGCCGATGCATTTGTTCGGCTATGATTTTCAACGGTCTAGCCGGCCCGAACGACGTACCACCTCGTACTTCACCGTGATCGTCGTTCCGTCCCTCGTCTAGCCACCATCATTGAAGAACGAAGGATTAAGAGCGACATCCAGATACCGTCAAACTGTTTTAATCGGACCAGCTATGTGCCATACCACGTGATGGCCAGAGTCGAATATTAGGTACCTGTGACAGTCAGCTCTCGTAATCCCTATCCAGCTCGCTTGTGGAAATCGTCTCTACGAGTTGAATGTCGTGACTCAGTCTCTCCGCGCGGCGAACGTGTGATTCAATCTGTGATCGGCTGCGGCGGACATGGATCTTCTGCACGCTCAGGACCAGGTCTCAGCAGTTTTCAAGTCCCATCAAACATCGTTAGCTTGACAGTTATGAATGACGAAGTCCTTGCGGTGCCCTCCGACACGGTGACAAGTGATAGAATAAGTACATAGTGACAGAGGAATGGCGCCAGGCATACCGCATTGAGTCCGGTATCATGAATGCCAAAAAGACGGGGGAAGGGTGTCGGTCGCATAAACTGGCAGAATTAAACAGCCTTGTCCCGAGGCGTCAGACTATCTTGCATTTGCCTACCTGTTCACCATTCTTGAACTTACTGTCTGTTTATCTGAATGGAAGGAACTCGGTTCAATGCGACGCGCGTGGCATGTGTTGGACTATCAGATCGTTGACATTTAATTAGTAATTCTTTCACAACTCGTATCTTGTCCCGATATCCATAGTTTGGGATTAGCAATCGTGTCCTTCGCGTTCACGACAGCCTCTCTCCGCCTGCTAAACACGCCTGCTCCACGCATGGCGAACTAGGCTCTCACAGAAACACCAAAAGGGTGGTTCGTACTTCAGCTAGGTGACAGTGACATAGAGCACATACTAGGAAAGAGTTAGTGCAATCTGACACTCTGTCCTACGGTGAGGATGGAACTATCCCGTCAGTTAGCAGCCTTAAGAGCCACGACCTTTTAGAGCAATGTGATAGTTTAAAAGCGCGTCAAATTATTTATAGTATTGAAAATGTCTTAAGTGCCTTGGGCACGGAGTCAACCTCACCCTCTCTCTCCCAGACGCCAGTTCACTGCCCGATCCCGTCAGTCATCTGGTGTACGGACTGGGCCAAGTTGGTCAGTGCGGCGTTGATCTGCGCCTAGGCGTGCCGACACGTCCTCTGACCGTGCGTGGCGCTTGTTACGCATGCGCAGCTCGAATAAAGCCTACCTCGTCCTAATCTTGCCCCCTTTTTGGTTCAGCACATTTCGCACGCAGCCCATTGTGGAGGCCAATTCTAGCTTCCTCGACATCCCTTGTAAAATGAACCTTAGCATAGGTAGCCGTCCTTCCTGGGTGGCCGTAGATATCTTCGATAGCCTTCCTAGTGATTGTGAAATCACCAAGTTCCCAAAAACATCTTTAAAACACAGCCTTTAGGCGCTATCGGTCCTCCTTGGCCTGTTGAGGCCCAGGAAACAGACCACTTCTCTCAGGTGATGTCTGAGGTAAATTTTCCTACTCAGGATTTCAGTTTACGACTTCCGATCAATACGTCGCTTAGCAATCAAACAGCTGATCTGGCGAACGCTCTTATTAGAGATCCTGCATTTCGTACGAGTCCGTAGCTTGAGGATCGTAAGACAAAGTCGGAAGTGCAGTCGGCCCACCAGATGTCACCTAACAGTTCGACCATCGTTTCCGATGACAACAAGGTGGAGCAGGAACGGTGACTTGCGCGTGGATTAGTTTAAAGTGGTAGTAGACTTGCGCTGCATCTACCGCACTAGTGGTAATATAAACGCTAACAATACCGGACCACCCGTTTTTGAGGATTCAATGACGTAGTGCAGGACAAAACACGCGACGGCAGGGTGAGGTAGTAGGACTTTACGGCACCAACCGTTTCCTGATGCATGAGGAGTCAGCGCCAACATGACTTCTTGGCTCCAGAGAAGATGTTACCGTTTTTTAAGACTTCCTGTTGCACGGGGTCAGCATTATATTGACGCTTTTTACTAATGGGGATGAGCAGATTTACATTCCATAAGGGTACCGCAGTACAGTTCTTACTTGCGATCACCCCTCAGGTCTGAGTTGGGGCGCCTCTTCTTCAGCTGCAGCGAGTCGGCGCTGTGCACACAAACTTTCGCCGCTTCGCGCGCGTTGGATGGCCTGGCCTGTTACCTGCGTTCCCCTAAACCAACCAATCACATGAACAACACTCAGCTAGGCGTTCCATCATAATGGCACCCGCGTAAACAACACACCAAAACTTGTACTTTCTCGAGTGGACGCTGTGTTCTGGCACGCAAGCAAACAGCCAGATTATAGAAACCTGCCCTGCGTACAGAATAAACTGATTCTCACAACCCCTTGACTTCTGACATTAAACGGGACGAACTTACTGTATGTAGGTAAAGTTAATATCACACCCCTGGCCCTCACGTGTTGGTGATCCCGATCTTCCGAACACTGGAAGTTCGCAAGCGCACCGTTCACGACAGCCGTCTTTCGACAATTTACAGCAGGATGTCGCATAACCAGTAGTCACTCGTCAGCTCAACCTCTCAAGGATCCAGCGTACGCATGTACAGATTTGAAGTTATTAATGCGAGTGAAGACCCAGCTCACTGCAGTTACCACTAGCGGCCCGTGGCGAAAACGAGACCGTCGACGAACTTCCTCCCTTTTCCGCACCCGCCGTCAACAGCCTCCAAGCTGCATGTGCTGGTATCACCAACAATTCGGGGAATCAGCGCGACGACGTCTGCGCCACTACTCTTCGAAGTCATCTCCAATGGCCTCGGGAAAACAAACCCACCCGGC